GCTGTTCAGTGTCAGGAGGGCTGTGATCAGTCTTACATCGGGGAAACAAAACAGCCACTGGCCAAAAGGATGGCCCAGCACAGAAGATCAACATCATCAGGCCAGGACTCTGCGGTCTTCACTCATCTTCAGGCCAGCGGTCACTCTTTCAGGGATGAAGATGTGCACATCCTGGACAGAGAGGAACGATGGTTTGAGAGAGGAGTAAAGGAGGCCATCTTTGTGAAAAGAAACCGTCCATCATTAAACAGGGGTGGAGGCCTACGTGTTCAATTGTCCCCTCTTACAATGCTGTGATTGCTAGTATCACTCAGCCCTCTGTGAATAGTAAACAGTCATCAGTGTGCTAATGATCCATTGTTAGGCTGATGGTCCTTCTTGAGCATGTGATCAGCTGGTTTTGGTTGTCAGCAGCAAAACTGGTTGATCCACTCTGAGAAGGTGCTATTTAAGAGACTGAGCTGAAAACAGCACCTCAGACTGAAGAAGTCTCTCGGACGAGAGACGAAACGTTTCTACATTTTTTTTGTTGATTTGCTTTGTTTTGTTTTTTTGAATGTCCAGAGGACCAGATTTAACTTTTTTAGATTTTTCTACCTGGATTATTGAGCATGCATCAGGATATTTATAAGTGACAGATCTGTTTGTGTGTAGCAAGTGATTAGAGTTCATGGTGCGAAATCTAATGAAACACATTCTGTCTTTGATTCTTACAAAATGATCCATGGATTTCATGGCTCAGCTTTGTGTCAGTGGGCCCGTGAGCTTTGTGTTGACTGTGTGAAGCCTGAACTACTGAGACATACAGAGCAACACGGAGTTTTGATAAAGCTGCAGGGAAACTAGATTTCATCAGCCTCTGACATCTTGGAGGAACTGTGAGGCAGCAAACGACTGAAGACAAGACAGGACCAGAAGATGATTAAACAAACAAAAGTTGTTTCTTATTTATTTTGTATTTTAAACCGAAACAACATTTCTGTGTGCAAGGTATACTTGGAGAGGCTCCTTACGTATGCTGAGATCGACATCTGCCCCGCCAACTGGAAGCGCATCGTGCTGGGAGCCATCCTCCTGGCCTCTAAGGTCTGGGACGACCAGGCGGTGTGGAATGTCGACTACTGCCAAATTCTCAAGGACATCACTGTAGAGGACATGTGAGTCACTGGAAATGACCCCGAAACACTTAGCAGACGTAGAAGTACTGCAAGGTGCTAAAAAAAAATCAAACACTTGAGCAGAAATTCTCTTCATCTGGGATAAGGTATTCTTTCACTTGAGACCTCTTCTGTTCTTTATTCTTGTATTCTTAAAGTTTTATGATGTACTATCGCTGGAAGTAAAGCAAGCGTGAGGCGTCCAAATACTCTGGAGCGTTGTGAGGATTATCCTGAGTAATACGTTTCAGCTGCAGCTGTGTTCCTACACTGTCACCTCTGACCCCTGCAGACTGTTGGCTGCTGGAAGTTTATTCTTGTCTTTAGCTTCAAATGTGTCGAGCAGTGACTGTAACCCACCTGTCTGGGACTCTTTCCGGTCATTGGAGCTAAACTTATGCTCCTGCTGTGCTTTGACATGCCAACTCTTTAAATCCCCTCTCTGGAACTCAGCCTGTTGATCTTTTCTACTTGCAAACATTAAAATGCAGGGAAAGCACAAAAATAAATAGTCTTAGAAGAACCGAGTTTGTTGAATTGATTAGAAGCAGCACTGGTCAGAGTTTAGCAACAATAGGCTCTAATTTTAGCTGGCTGTGTGCCATTAGTGTTCGTGGGTGAGGAGCAAAGCCTGGAAGGAGAGACAGATTTTAGTTGCAGTGTGAGACGAATCGGTCCCGTCTGGAGAGAAACAGATGAAGAGACAGCTTTCTGCTGCAGGGATTACAGTGAGACTGAGCACAACAAGAGCACTGTCAGGGTTTGGGGTTAATATTTTTCAAGCTCTTTTCTGAAATATCATTTAATTTCACTGTGAAGAAAGGCCAAAGTTTGGTGGACGTGTAGGGGATTCAGATTTAATTCAGTTCAATTCAGTTTATTTATAAAGCACCAAGTCACAACTGAAGTTATCTCAGGGCACTGATAGAAATATTCATACACATAAAAATTAAATTATTAACATTATTTGTCTAAAGTAGCGTAGCCATCAGACCCGTTGACTTCATTTTGTCACAGTCTCCCATCCTGAGCAAGCATAAAGGCAACAGTGGAAAGGAAAAACTCCCTTTTAACAGGAAAACACCTCAAGTAGGACCAGGCTCAGGATGAGCGGCCATCTGCTTCAACTGGCTGGGTATGAGAGGACAGGAAGGAGAAACCTCAAATGGAGGTGAGCAGGTTCCTCTAGGAGGAAAGACAAGAAAAAAAACATGTTACAGACATGTGGCATGTGCCACGGTAACGTGTCAGCTTGGGAGGAGTCGACAAGGCAGAGGACAGCCCCCAGAAACCATCTTATCTCCATCAAACTGGTTGGTCCACTGTATTAGGGTTCTGCTTAGTTCGGAAAATAGTTTGTTTGGGACTTAGAATGATGAAGCCCTTCAGATGGAGGGTGAAAGTCTCAACAACAACAAAAAAAGAAACTGTCCAGAAGACTTGGCTGAACATTGTTGCATGTTTTACCTGGATTACTGAGCATGAACCGTGACGTTGGACAGAAATAATTACAAATACAAACTATTCATTTGTAACTGTTCACTTGATGAAATGAGGTCAATTTGTCCTCCAGCCTATAGCAGCATAACTAAGAGATAGCTCAGGAAACCGAAGCCGACCTTAACTATAGGATTTATCAAAAAGGAAAGTTTTAAGTCCAGTCTTAAAACTGGATAATGTGTCAGCCTCACGAACAGGAACTGGAAGTTGGTTCCACAAGAGAGGAGCCTGATAACTGAAAGAACTTCCTCCCATTCTGCTTTTGGAAACTCTAGGAACTACAAGTAAACCTGTGGTCTGAGAGCAAAGTGCTCTGTTAGGAAAATATGGAACAATTAAGTCACAGGAAGAATTTAAACGTGTTTTCAATTTGAAGTTTTTTTTTTTCCTAACTTCAATCTGTTCTTTTTCTCTTTGTTGGCTGAAGGAACGAATTGGAGCGCAAGTTCCTGGAGCTGCTGCAGTTTAACATCAACGTGCCGTCCAGCGTTTACGCCAAGTATTACTTCGACCTGCGCTCCCTGGCTGAGGCCAACAACCTCAGCTTCCCCCTGGAACCCCTCAGCAGGGACAGGGCCCAGAAACTAGAGGTAAAGGGCGCCACACAGTTACTGTATATTCCCAAACATATTTTGTATTTTCCCAAAAGTAAGAATCCAGATCATCTGCAAAGATGATGATGTTTCAGTGTTAGCTTCCTGCTTCATCATTTGTCCCTTCTTTAAAACGTAGCTTGACCATTTTAAAGTACTGATCTTTGAATAGATAGTGGAAAATGAATATCTTACTTGTTGTAGACAGTGTTTTGCACAACCTACGTCAGAAGAAACAGACTTGAATTCTGACAGGACTGACTGACTAATGTCTAGTCTGTACTAAAACAACTCCAATCTCTAAAATGTCACAGCATTATTTTACACAATTATTTACATAGTTTTCTGTGGTTATTTGCAAGCACAACTAGTGGCAGCAGCAACTAGCTGTAGCACTTCCAGTTCAAACTGAAGAACCTCCCGTAGGAATATCATATTTCTGCCATGTAATCATGAAATAGAAGATGAAAAAATCCCATAGTCAACATCGAGTTAATCTGGTCAGAATTAACTGTATTTTTCCAAACTGAGGACGTTCAAAGAGCTTTGTACAACATGCAAGATATTAAATGTCCTCTACATAACCCCACTTCAAGCTGTTCAAGATGTCCCTTACTTAGATTTGTCTTTGAAATGTCTGTGTTTATTTTGTCTCGCAAAAACTGAACTATAATCATCGTTATTGCCTCTTCTAAAAGAAATGTGTAATCCCAAAATAATTGGGGATTATTAAGAATTATTAAGGCTGGCTCTTTTTTATTTACTCCAACAAAACTATCATCACAACGTGTTGGACAGGTAAAGTCGATCCCGCTTCTTGGAGAATAGTTTTACAAACGTTCAGTCGTTCACCTTCATCTTATTTGCTGTTTGACCTCCAGGCCATCTCACGGTTGAGTGACGATAAGTACAAAGACTTGAGGAAGCTGGTCAAGAAGCGGTCGGTGAGTGCGGACAACCTGACGGTGGTGCGGTGGTGTCCAGCCATCATTTCCTAACCCTGGTCACCTTCAGAGGAATTTAGAGACTTGGATTGTAATATATTTGCCTGATAGAGCTGAGCAGCTGCAGGTCTGTCTGGAACACACACATTCACACAGAAAGACACCTTTTTAAATGTGTTTGCACTCTCTCTGGTCATTGTACATAAAAGACGTCTCACTGGCTGCCTGAACGTAACCACGTGGAGCTGAGCTGAAAGAAAGTGAAGGTCAGGACTGAAAGATCATGTTGGAACAGAAACTGCGTCACAGAAGTCACCAGGCTTTTCCACACAACACCTTTAAGATGGGACTTTGTCGCCTTCTGGCTGCCTCGGTGGCATTTCTGAATGGATCGAGGGGGTCCAAGCCAACTCACCTCTGAAGCTCATTTTGTACTACAAAGTGATGTAGTAACAGAGAAAAATGGTCTGCGTGTAAAAATAAAAATTTACGCCAACTTTCCAGCTCAATAATGAGAAGAAGTGATGACATCCTGACCTGAACTTGCAGACGATGACAAACATATTTGTTACTGAGAGAAGATTGATGTCGACGCACAGCGTCTTTGTATTTAGCTTTGAAAATCAGTCAACAAGAATCACTAAACCGAGTGAATTGGTCGTGTTTTGAAAATGATGCGAACAGGTGGAGCTCTACGCTAACCCAGCTGAGTTCTGTTCTGCACCTTTTTTGGTTCTGTGAGGCTCACTTCATTTCTTAAAGCTCATTTCTGTGTGGGTCGGGGCCAGTTCCATTAAAGATTTTTAAACGGTCAGAGACAGAATAAGATGTGGTGGTCTGCACGATTCTTTTCACAGAACTGTTTAGTGAACGAGCCTAAAGATACTGACAGAATCTGGGAAGATGGCAAAAGCCTAAAGAGCAAAACACAACTGTGTACATTACTTTGTTTTAACCCTTCGGTTCAGTTCCTTTACTAAAGCATAGTTGTTGTTTTTTTTTACAACTTATAGGCACATTGCTGGTTTCTAAAGCCCATTTCCTCAGTTTGATTTTCTTTTTTCACTTTCTTCCAAAATAAAGAATTAAATGGATATAAATACATTCCATTGTTTAGCTGATACATTTTACTTGACTACATATCGGACCGTTTTTACAAAATAAATCCACTGAATTATCATCAAAATCATGGCTATATATTGCAGGAGGTGTGGAACAACTTATAACGTCCATGTTAAAAATGTAATCTATAAATCATCCAATGTTCCTTCAAATTAAGCAATATTCATTTCTCTATTTTTGTAATGCAATTTGTTGGAACATAAATGAGAGAAGACAGATATGAGACACACTGTAGAGCTCATACTTTATTCACTGCCGTTGTCCTGACCTGTGGTGCCTGTAAGATGCTAATCGAGACACCTTCCCCCTCTACTGAAGCAGAACAAATAACTGAGAAGGGTTTTTTTTTTGTTTAGTTTTTAATGGTTCTTCCAGCTTAGAATAATTCAAACCCTGCACAAATGAAAATATTACAACTTGGAAGTCAACTTAGTGCACATTTTTTCAAGGTTGTTTTCACCGGTTCTAAATGGACCAAAATAAATGACAAAGCATTCAGCAGTGATTAAAAGACTGCTGAGAAAATTAGAGATTGTATAGTTTTGTTTTTTGAATCTTTGTACAGTGTAAATAAAGTGCCAGTGTGAAAAACAAACACATTTAGACTGAAGTCATCCTGTAAACAAAAAAAAAAGAAAGAATAAACGAGAATGACGTTGAAATATTTATATTGAAAAATACAAGAAGAGGTAAATATCCTGTTTGATTTTGCACTCGTGATGAATCAAGTAATGAGAAAGGTATTAGAATTTAAATGGGACAAACCACTTAATTTTTTTGCTAGCATTATCACACTGCAGAAAAGGTTTTTGCTTTTGATAATAAATTTTGTCTGTGTGTGTGTGTATATATATATATATATATATATATATACACACATAAATATATACACACATTAATATATACACACATAAATATATATATACACACACATATATTTATATACACATAGATATATATACACATATATATATATATATATATAGATAGATAGATATACACATGTATATGTGTATATGTATATATATATATATATATATATATATATATATATATATATACACGTGTGTGTGTGTGTGTGTGTATATATATATATGTGTACGTGTGTGTGTGTGTGTGTGTATATATGTGTGTGTGTGTGTATATATGTGTGTGTATGTGTGTGTGTATATATATGTGTATATGTGTGTATATATATGTGTATGTATGTGTATATGTATGTATATATACATGTATGTGTATATGTATATATACATGTGTGTGTATATGTATATATACGTGTGTGTATATGTATATATACATGTATGTGTATATGTATATATATGTGTATATATATATGTATATATACACATATATGTGTGTGTGTGTATGTGTATGTATATATATATATATATATATATATATATATATATATATATATATATATATATATATACTTTTTCTAAAGATAAATTAGCATCATTTAACACTTTTTAAAGATAGTTTTAACTGTCAGAGGCTCTTACTTTTTACTTGAGTGATTTTTGTTTTTATGAAGCACTGAAACTGACAAAATGTTGTCAAAGTCTCACAAATTAATTATATATTTCAATAGATTATCTTTAATAATAATCATCATAATAATGGGTGATTTCAATATTTTTGTAGAAGTTGAAGTGATAGCTCAAGCATAGTCTTTAAAAAAATTAATAGAATCAATTGGTTTTACCCAAGGCGTCCACACATCCACTCATTCTCATCATCACACTCTTGATTATGGCATTGAGATTAATGACTTGGTAATACAACCTCAAAATCCTGTTCTGTCTGATCATTTTTTCATTTAAATTTAACCTTTGAGTTTACATTAAATGACTACACACTCACTGAGAGTAAATTTCATCTTAGCAGGTGTTCATCAGAAAAAGCTGTAACCAAATTTAAAATTATCTTCCATCATTTTCCTCTGACTTGCAGAGTAATACATCAGAGAGCAGTGATTTAATACATCTGGTTGATAAATTTACAACTTCTTAACAAACTTCACTCGATAAAGTTGTTCCGCTGAAAAATAAAGTAATCCTTGGTTCAATTCTGAATTATGTACTTTTATACACTTAGAAAGCTGGAAAGAAAATGGTTCTCCACTAACGTTGAAGAATTTTACTTATCTTGGTGTGTGCTAACGTATAAAAAAGCACTCCATAAATCTAGAACTTTATATTATTCAACTTTAATTGATGAAAATAAAAATAACCCCAGGTTCCTTTTCAGTACCATAGCTAGTCTAATGAAAAATCTTATCTGTTTATTCATGTATCCCTACAACTATAAGCAGTGATAAGTTTATGAGATTCTTTGTAAATAAAATTATTTCAGATAGGGAAAAATTTCAAACCAACCTTACTATTATTGCCTCTGGTTCTATGCCAGATGAGACAGCTGTAAAAATGTCACTAGAAACTGATTTATGTTTGGACTGTTTTCGTCCTGTTGAGCTCTCTGAATTGTCAAATAATAGCTTCATCCATTCCACATGTCTACTAAATCTCATCCCAATCAGGCTATTTAAAGAGGTATTTCCCTCAATAATCACATCTTGATGCTGCTTAATTTGTCTAATGGATGGTTACTTACCACAGAACTTTAAGATTGCTGTAATTAAACCTTTACTTAAGAAACATAGCCCTGACTCAGGAATCGTAGCCAATTATAGACCTATATCTAAGATAACTTTCATCTAAAAATTTCTAGAGAAAATAGTTGCTGGTCAGTTATGTGATCATCTGCAAAGAAATAATCTGTTTGAAGAGATTCGGTCAGGGTTTAGAGCTCACCATAGCACTGAAACTGTACTCGTGAAAGTCACTAAAGATATTCTCATGGCCTCAGACAATGGACTTGTGTCTACACTGGTCCTGTTTGACCTCAGTGCTGCATTTGATACAGTTGATCACAATATTCTATTACAGAGACTTGAATATGGTATTGGAATTACAGTAACGTCTCTAAATTAGTTTAAATCATATTGATCTGATAAATTCCAATTTGTAAATGTAAATAATGAATCTTCATCATACACCAAAGTTAGTCATGGAGTTTGTCAGGGTTCAGTGCTTGGATTAGTACTCTTTACCTTATATATGCTTCCATTAGGTAAAGTTATTAAATGGTATGGGATACATTTTCATTGTTATGCTGATGATACACGGTTATATTTGTCAGCGAAACTCAATGAATCCAATCAGTTACTTAGACTACAAGCATGTCTTAAAGACATCAAAACCTGGATTACCCTAAATTTTATGTCTTTGAACACAGACAAGACTGTGGTTGTGGTTTTTGGACCTGAGCATCTTAGGAATTAAATTTTTAGTCTTTCGCCCTCTTTGGATGGCATTAATCTGGCCTCTCGTTCTAATGTTAAAAATCTTGGTGTTATTTTTGATCAGGGCTTGTCTTTTAACCCGCACATTAAAAACTTTACTAGAACCGCCTTCTTCCACCTGCGTAATATCACTGAAATTATAACCATCTTATCTAAAAGTGATGCAAAAAAACTGGTTTGTGCATTTGGCACGTCTAGACTGGACTATTGCAATGGTTTATCAGGGTGTCCAAATGCTTCTTTAAAAAGGCTTCAGTTAATCCAAAATGCTGCTGCCAGAGTCTTAACTGGAGTTAGTAGGAGAGATCATATCTCTCCAGATGAGCACGTGCCACTCACACGTACCAATCCACATTAAAATATATTGGACGTGCCCCTCAGGTATCATTCATGCCCATGTAGAGGCATACAGTGGCACCAGATGGGCACGAGCCATTCATACAGGCCATTCTACATTATAAATTATTGGCCATGCCCCTCAGGTACCATCTTTTCCTATTTAAGGGCATTAAAGTGGCACCAGAGGGGCATTGGGCACCACCAATACCCAAGACTTGGCAGTGCCCAGTTTTGCTGGTACGACTCAGACAGTGGGCTGTTGAAACAAACAAAAAAAACATTTATTTAAAAGCGCACAGGACTAAGAAATGCTTGTTTGGTAATAAAACAATAATAAAGGGATTATTTAAAAAAAAAAACAGGACTTGACTAAAAACTGCTTGCCTAGGAATAAAACGATAAAAGGATTATTTAAAAAACTATTAACTATTTACAATTTAAAATATTGAACAATTCTATTTAAATATTTACAATTAAAACTTGAATGTGCATTTACAAGTAGAATAAAACAAATCGAGCACCAGTCTCACTTTTCTTGAGCCACTTTTTGCAAGGCCAGC